TATAGAATTTTTAGTTATTACAGACACGTACATATTTTTATATAAAATTCTTCTGTACACTTTCAACTTGTCGTGTACATAATAAGAAGAGACAAGATATTTATAACATGCTTATTTTCAATCAATGAAAAGAAATATATACAAAGCATAAAATAAGTCATAGACAGGACACTTGATATTAATTATTATTGTAATCTGCGTTTTGAAATATCGTTGATCGTTGAAGAATTTATGTAGAGATTGATGTTACTGTCTCAACTGTACTTATTAATTCTTTGTCATTACTTTCATTTTTTATAGGAACGATATTATTTACATTAGGCAGTAGTTTAATATCAGTAGTTTGACTTAACGACAAATTTTTAGATGAGCTCAGAGGCATAGTATCATTTAGGTTTACTCTTGTACCTATTGCTTGTTCGTTGCTTTCACTTTGATTAGAACAACTATTAATATTTACACTATGTTTCTTCATATGAGTCGTTAAATTTCCACTATGGTAAAAATCTTTCCCACAAACTTTACATTGAAATGGCTTAATTCCAGAATGTATTCTTACGTGTATCGATAAATTCCCACTGTGCCTAAATTCTTTACCACATACAACACATTTATATGGCTTCACGCCTGAATGAGTCCTTAAATGAGTTGACAAATTTCCACTGTGACTAAACATTTTTCCACATATCTGACAACCGTAAGGTCTTTCACCAGAATGCGTTCGCATATGGATAGCTAAGTTCCCACTATGAGTAAAACACTTTTCACATTGATTACATTTATATGGTCTTTCCCCATTATGAGTCCTCATATGTATAAATAAATTACTTTTATGTCCAAATTCTTTAAAGCATATTTCACACTGACATTTAACTTTCTTTCCTACATTTGACTCTGAACAGTCTTTAGATGGTCTCCCAGGACGATTCGATTTAATGGGCGACACAGGCCCTGGAATTACCATATGGTTTGTGAATTTTGTCGGTTGTATACTTCGAGGAAATTGTGATTGTTCAACTTTTTCATTCACATCTGTGTGACGCTGTTGATTCATTTGATTTAAATTTTCCTCTCGATTACCTTGGTGCTGTATGCTAGAATCTATACAATTTCTCATATACGTCAAAGAATTATTTTCCTGAAACATTTAAGGTATACATTACGTTTATAAAATGTTGTACAAACTCAAAATGAGAATGTGAAACTTACTTCAGAATGATATGAATTATGCTGATCATAAATTTCATTTTTTGGACATATTTGGTTTGATAATTGATGATCCCAGTATTGTGGTATTTCATTATATTTATAATCAATATTTTCATTAATTGATGTTGGATATTTGGAAATATTTGAAACATTACTAGTAGAATCAACATCTTCTACTTTCATATATTCATATTTGATTTGTATAGGATTAAACATCTACATATATTACAAAATAATAAAAATTAATATAATGCAATACGATGATCGAAAATTTTAACAATTCTTGTAAAACGTACATACATTTAAGAAAGTTGATGGAACTTCTGTCCAGTAATTTATAAATCTTCATACTTTGATTAAAAAATCAATTTTAAAGGGAACATGACTAACATATACACTGTCACTTCAACACTAGTTATGTATGCATTCCCATGTGTAATAAAATAATCATTCATAATCATTTTTTATAGTATTTTTTAATACAATTAAACATTCGTTTCGTGTTGCAAATTAACAAATTAACCGCTTCGTCACAAATAGACTACGCAATAAAACTATTAAATTAAAACCAATTATAAAATCATAAAGAAATTGGTAGACAAAGGAAGCTCAAAGTCTAATTAAAAAAACGTGACTACGAAATAATGTTTTCATAAAAAATGATTTGGTAAACTTTTGAACTATTTTTTTAAAAATTTGACCAATTTACAAGGTTCGCAGGCAGGTATAAACATCGCTATGATTTTGGCCACCTAGCGATAAAAAGACACATAAAGAAGCAGCAAGAAAAACAGAATTCTTTAAGTTTCACGTCTCACTCAAATTTCCGGATTTGTATCGATGTTAGATTCAGAAATTTGTAACACTATATTTAATTGTTTTTTTGATTAAATAATTAGATAGAATTTACG